ATATACATATATATATATATATATATAATATATATATATATATATATGCTACTAGCAATATAAAGTGAGAGAATGCCATAATAATAATTAGCAAAAAGCCTACATGTCATATCACATGTATTATCACTCACATGATTGACTTGTAGGGCACCTATGACAAGCAGATGTTATCCTTGTGGTGAAGAGCAGAATATAGGTGATCCACCACTACTGACGAGACAAGCCGAGCGGAAGGAAAGGGTCAATGGTCGTAAGAGTTGGTGATACTCCGATCATAAGAGAGGAGACAATGGGCACTCAACTTTTGAACTCAAGGTTAGCCCATGACCGGTGGATGGTAGTCACAGTAGGAGGACGATAGTAGTAGCAATAGGTCGGCCCACGAGAAGAGGTCGTCGAAGGAGCAGTAGCAGGCTGGCGATGAGCCTCAATGAAGCGAGGTTTACAATAGTGGCACAGAGAAGTTAGTGTTTGCCATCGGCTTATGAGAAGATAGTTGAAGTCCGCCGGCTGATAAGGAGAAGTCGTTGGTGAGGAAAGCAGTGTCGGTTGAGTGGAAGTAGTGAGGATGGAGAGCAGCGCCGATGAGGAAAGAAGCGCTAGCGAGGGCAGCGCTAAAGGCGTCGGCACAAAGTAGCAGCAGGAGAAGACATGCGCTGTTCACCGAGGAAGTGCCGTAGTCACCATAGAGAAGAAAGTGACGACAGTAAGACAATCATCATCGCTTCAAATCAATGTCGTTGGAGGTGCATCGAGGTAGAGGAGAGAGGGTTCTTGGCGTCGACTCGGAAGGGGAAGGGGAAGACATCGCATCACAGTGAGCGATTGGAGAATAAGACAGAGGCATCACAAAGCAATTAAGGTTCTTCCTCGGAAGGTGGCAGGGTTTGGTGAGGAGTGGGATAGCAAGAAAAGAGCTTGCTCTAGGTAAGATACTCTCATACCATAATAGAAGATAGAAAAAATAGAAGATAAAAGAAGATATATTTTTTATTGATATATTATCTCTATTTATATAGGTTAGGAGGGAGGATTTCCCTCAACAAAACAGCGAGATTTCCTCATGCAGCTAAGGAATTCTTATTTACTATATTTTATTAATAACATCAATCCGTTCTATTATAATTTATCATATATCGATATGAAAAAGTCTTGAGTCATTGGATTATTAGAGAAAGAAGCTCGAGATGTTTTTAATGCTTAAACAATATAATTAATGATTTTTTTTCGATTCAATCAACTAATTTGATCCATATTGTATATCTAATAGTATAAAAAAATGATTATTCATCCATGTTATAACGTCAGGCCAATTTTATTCATTCTTCGTTATCATTATATTATAAAATTAATATATAGAGCAATGATGCTAATAACATCATAAATCTGGATCGACTACATACATCTTTTATCGTAATTGAGACTTATGAAAAAAATATTTAATTAATTTTGATATACTTAAATATTATGATTTATTTTAGTGGACATGTTGATCGGGCTACATGACTATAACATGATCTACTTATATCATCAATCTGAAGACCATCGATCATATCTAGCAATGAACGACTCATTTTCTTTATTTTCATTAAAGGTAATCCAAATTAATTCTGTGAGCTGTTATTTACTGGTTGACTATTAAGACATCAGCTTGCGTTGACTTTTTTTCCCCAGTATATTTTCGCTTCTTTTCCTATTGCTAATCGTTTTCTCTGTGGGAGACCATTAAGACATCGCACCGAACACCAGCATGAGACCATTAAGAGGGAGAGAAGTACGCGAAGGTTTGGAGCTCTCAAACCCGTGACTTGTGATTCCTCCTCCATCCACGTCCACAGGGCGGACCACCGCCAGCAACTCCACACACCAACAGAGTGCGCGGTGCTCCCAATCCCATTTCGACTTCGCCGACCAGATCCCCCCCCCACCTCTCTCTCTCTCTCTCTCTCTCTCCCTGAAACCCTCTTCCATGGAGAGGCTTATCTCCTCCTCTTCCTCCTCCTCCTCCTCCTCTATCCCCTCTCGGACAGCGGCTCTCCCGCAGATCCCCAGGCTTCGTCCTTTGCTCCGCCTTCGGTCCCCCGCCGATCTAAAGTTCGGCCCTTGGTTGACGCCGCGTCGGGATCTGAAGCCCCCGCCCGTGCTCGTCTCCAAGCAAAAAGGGCCGCCTCTTGCTGTCCGTTGGGCACAGGGGGAGCCACGGCCAGCTCAGCTACGTGACCAATTCTCCGGAGGACGAGAAGGAGGAGGAGGAACAGTATTGGATGTGGTTTTACTTCGAAAGGTGCGATTTTGTGCGTCCTTTGTGGTCCCTTTAAACCCTTTACCCTTTTGCTGCTTCATTTGGTTTTGAATTTGCTTAGAACGGGGTAAGTATTGGCAAATATTCTATTTTTCTATTAAGAAAAATTGTGGTTAGAAAAATTGGTACGTGGACGGTACTTTTCCCTTTAATTTCGGAGTTGCCGCTCGATCTTCCGATGATTATTTTAGGTCTACTACAGGATTTTAAAATGCAATGCGTTTCTGGGGATTGAAAGGCACGTATAAGCGCATTTGGTTCCTTTTTACTTGTGACTCAGATGTGCAGAGAGCATACTTGGGTGAATATTAAGATATAAATTTCGGAATACTTTCTTGCTTTATTATTTTAGCAGATACGCCTGGGAGGTTAATGTTGTGAAGTAAATGGGTAGATTTTAGTTACAACGGATCTTAAGCAATTTAAGTTAGGAGAGAGACCTTAAGCAAAAATGAAATGGCTAAAACTGACTTGTGCACTGTGGTAAGGATCTGCATTTCCAAAATAACTGTGAATTTTCTTCTCTGGATTTCTGACCTTGAGCATGCGCATATGAGCTTCTTTCCTCTTTTGCTTTTAACTTGCTTTTCATTTGTTCACCCGATGCTCGAGGGAAGCTTGGTCTCCTAGAAAGTTGGAATCTGTGGTAGGATAAGATTGTCCATGTGCTATTATATTGGTGACAAATTTTAGACATGTTATGTGTAACATTTAATCCACAGCCTTGTTTTCAAACTGAATTTATAATCTCTTGTGCAGCAACTATCCATTTTATGCATCTCATATTTTCTTTAGATCGAGTTACTCATCTTCCATCTTTCTTTTATTTGACGTTTCTTGATATAATTACTCTGCCTGTATTTATAATCATTTTCATAAAAGTTTAAAGACCAGTACTAATTGTGGGTACTCAAGTCTGAAGATCATCAGTAGTTGGTTTACATTGTCTATGGAGATGTTATACATCCATATTTTATTTGCAATCTATTCTCTTCAAAGTTTGTGTTGCCACTTCTAAAGATACATTCATAATGTTTTTGCTGCATGCATAGTAAACAACTTTATAAGTTAAGAAAAAATATGAAACGTAACTGCTATTTGTATTCCCTTGTTACTCTTACTGTATTTCTTCAAGTCTGCAATTGTTGGTTGATTCATAAAATTTTTGAAGTGCAAATACTTATTACAGTTATCATCGGACGAGATGTCGGTTATTTTGTCTTTGGTGTTATGATGCCCGCTGTTGCTTCAATTTGTCCACGTTGGATCAACTGCTCATTCTATCTCAAATTGACTCCTTCATGCTCTTTTGGGGCATTGTTGTGTTTGAAACCTTCATATTGTAGCCTTAGGCAAGCGGTCACAGAAAAATGTTTCCAAGAATAAGTTGCCATTAGAAGTAAACTATAGCACGATAATAATAGATTTTGAGAATCATTAGGAGGAAAATGAAGGAGATTCAGGAGCAACTGTAGGTTCCTTTTTTTTTTCTTTGCCTTTGTTTCTTTTAGGCAATGAAGATTGGTTACTGTGACCAATCTTCCAAAATAGAAGCTCCATGATTAGCAAGTTGTAAATGCTTTGTGAATCTTTGCATTTGAGTTTTTGTTTTTGTCTTTGTGTCTATCTGCACAACTATCGTTGTAAGTTTAGGTGTTTGGCTAATAATTTTGGTTTTATTTCCTTGTTTTGCATTTTTAGATAGCATTAGCTCATTTCCAGTATAACTAGGCTAACAAGGCAACATTTATGGTAGTTCAACTGGACTGCAAAGTTTATCATTTTCAGTTGAGGTTGCAAATTGATGGATCTGTTTGAGAATTAATGTTTGAGTCAGAATGAAATTGATGCTTTTAGAGCTGTGGTTGGCATGCTTAACTCTGGACATACTTGCCCTAGAAGAAATTTCAATACTTGACTATGCTACCCTTTTCATTTTCTAGATGATACAGGTACCTTGTTTTGAGAATGCTCTTAGTGTGATTGTTGATTTCTTATGATTATGATTTAAAGGTGACACACCATCCATTAAAATACCAACAATATTTTTTCACCAGGTTTTTTGGTGAACATGGAGTTCCATTGAGCAACCTTTTATACTAAACACAGCTTTTTCCATCTTCAATGTTAAGTTTCTTTCATAACTTTGCATTTGGTAACTTTTCAGGTTGCTCGCTCTGCTGTAATTGTCCTTTCAGCAATTGTAATCGCAATAATCCATCCGATTCTGGCACAACCCTCTTTTGCGACAGTGCAATCTGCTGCCAAACCGGCTGGACAACTTATTAGAACTGAGTTGTTAACTAGTGCTTGGACTGGCTTTTTTGCTGGTTGCTTGCACACGTTATCTGGCCCTGACCATCTTGCTGCCTTAGCTCCATTATCCATTGGAAGATCAAGGATAGAGAGTGCTATAGTTGGAGCCCTTTGGGGATGTGGCCACGATGCTGGTCAAGTGATTTTTGGTTTGCTGTTTCTCACGCTCAAAGATCGTCTACACATTGAGATCATCCGCACATGGGGAACCAGAGTTGTCGGTTTTACTCTGCTCATCATAGGTGCTCTTGGAATCAGGGAGGCATCCGAGGTGCCTACTCCCTGTGTTGCTCTAGATAACGGGGAAGATGCCAGCTCCAGTGGGAAGAAACAGATTGGATTCGCAACTTTTGCCACCGGCATTGTGCACGGTCTACAGCCCGATGCACTCATGATGATCTTGCCAGCGCTGGCGCTTCCATCACGCGTGGCTGGCGCCGCTTTCTTATGCATGTTTCTCGTCGGCACCGTGTTTGCAATGGGGAGTTACACGGTATTCATCGGAACATGCACAGAAGCACTGAAAGAAAGGGTTCCTAGGATCACAGAGAAACTAACTTGGGCTGCTTCACTCGTAGCAATATCCATGGGACTTGCTATTCTAATTAGCCAGTTCTTTGGCTTCAGCCTGTATTGAGCTTCGCCTAGACTAACTTTATTGTTCTTGGCATCCTTAAATCTCTACAGCACAGCCTTTCTAAGAACCGGCTTTCGCCATGCAAGTCACCAGCATCACAGTTAAATTTTTTGAGTTGAACTTTCTACCTTTTAGCTCATAATGTTAACCATGGTCAAGTCTGCCCTAGACCAAGGTTATTTTTGCTTTTATCCTAGTCTTGGAAATTTCAAGCCTTTACAGATTTAGTTAATCGCTTTTGTTCTACTTCAGTAATCATGACTTTGAATCATGTCAAGTTAATAATTTTTGCCATCAATCTAGCTTTGCTTATTTGATCGTATCTTACACTAGTGATTGCCAAATCACGTGGATTTTTAGACTGCTGAGGATTTCTACGTGTGTATTATGATGCCAGCAGTCTATATTTTTTATTTTATTTGTTTTATTTCGAGCCTATTGAGCTTATTAGAACAATTATATGGTCTCTTTTATTTTTGAGCCTATTAAGCAAGCTTATTAGAACAATTATATGTTCACTCTTCCAAACGCGACAATACTAAAAAAATATGAGCCAAGAGGGATCAATTACCGTCGTCCTGTCGTGGTTCCAAAGTCATGCATATATACCTAAACACATCGACTGCATGCACGTACCCAACGATCCCTCACGAAAACAACACATGATCCATGCTAGGATACAAACACGGTGACATGGAGAAAGTGACGCTCCTAGTACGTCAATCGTCAATCATTTTCATCCTACTTGATCTTTACATTAACACTTTACTTTTGGCACCTAATTTTTCTGTTGCCTAACACCATTAAACTTAGCCGCTCTTCATTGTCGGATACTTGATCTCTTTTGACGACTACTGCCTCATCACTGGTGATGAAGGAAAGGTGTGACGACAATGTAGTTGGTTCTCGCCACTCTCCTACTCCAACTTTTGAGCCCCATCCTCCCATCACGTCGATAGCTTTATGTAGTGTGGGTTGATAACAAGGCTGGAGGAGGAATATTATGTGCCCATAAAGCTCTCTAACCAATCCCCAATTGATAGTTCAACGCCACCCACCATTGTCTTCTAGCTCAGCTCATGCCATTCTTCTTTTCCTCTATATATATTTACTGATATCATTTAGCTTTGTTCATGATCACAGTAAAACAGTAAAAGAGACGATATACCTTGGACTGTTTCATTGTGTTCCAGTGGTTTCTCAAGGTAACAATTGGTTCCTGGGTCTCAATCCTTGGTCCCAACAAGCACTTCAATTCCAACAGGCAATCCAAAGATCACTTACCTTACATGTCCTGATCTTTTATGTTGTCTGGCTGCTTCAGAGTTCAAGTTGTTCAAGGAGAGGTCAATTTCGTAAGTCTCTAAAGGATGTGTCGTTGCAAATGACCTATAATTAATCTCTTAAAGTCCTCCAAACCTTTGTGATGAGAAAGAGACGAGTGTGCGTATATGGCATGTGAAGGAACCTTCAAGAACACGACTCCATAATCATTGTCCTCGCTCACCCAACACTTAAATTAAACCACCTTTATCATCCAATATTAACAGCTCTTTGGTGGTGGATACTCTTCAGTCTTCAGTGTGTATATATACTCCACTCCTCCTCATCCTTTTTATCGTCAAAGGAAAAAGTGTAGGAGATAGCAGCAAACGATGGCTTCACTCGTCGCCTCACTCTTCATCTTCTCCCTTCTTCGTCTGGGTGATGCACTCAGCGTGGATTACTACGCCGAGACTTGCCCGCAGGCGGAGGCGGCCGTGATGGAGGCCGTGAAGCGAGCGACGGCCAATGACAACACTGTTCCTGCAGCGTTGCTTCGGATGCATTTCCATGATTGCTTCGTTCGGGTGCATGATCTCCCCTCCTTCCCCTGTGTCCATCGTTCGAAGGGCATGAATGATAATGGCCAACTGTGGCTGCACTCTCTGTTTCTTGTAGGGTTGTGATGCCTCAGTGCTGTTGAACTCCAAGGGGAACAACACTGCGGAGAAGGATGGGCCACCCAACATCTCACTGCATGCATTCTATGTCATAGACAATGCCAAGAAAGCTGTGGAGAAGTTGTGCCCTGGTGTGGTTTCTTGTGCTGATATATTGGCACTGGCTGCCAGAGATGCAGTGGCCCTGGTGAGCACACAATACGTAGCAGGTGTTCACCCCAACAACTGATCGAATGCCTGTGATATTGATCCTGGTATGCTATGGGTTGCAGTCAGGAGGACCCAAGTGGGAGGTTCCAAAGGGGAGGAAAGATGGAAGGGTTTCCAAGGCCAGTGAGTCAACACAGCTTCCAGCTCCAACCTTGGACTTCTCCCAGCTGAAGCAGATCTTCTCACAGAGGGGACTCTCCATAAAGGATCTTGTAGCACTAACAGGTAATAATGCAGCAAAAAATCAACTCTATCTGTCACCAAAGAAGAAAACAAACAGATATAGCAAGCGTATCATGTCAGCCAAGTGCAAGAAAGGCCATCATAGAGCCTTCGATTGGTATCCTCTTCGATTATTGGTCTGGTCTCTTCATTAACTAATCCACAAGAGGCTCTGTGTCACTGACATTACCAAGATCACCACTACCTTCTGACCTTGTTGTATCTGCATGGTGCAGGTGGCCACACTTTAGGGTTTGCTCACTGCTCCTCCTTCCAGAATCGGATCCACAACTTCGACGCGACCCACGACGTGGATCCGTCGATGAACTCCGACTTCGCGGCGAGGCTGAGGAAGGTGTGCCCGGCTCACAACAAGGTAAAGAACGCAGGATCAGCCATGGATTCCACCACCACAGTGTTCGACAACGCCTACTACAAGCTGCTCATCCAAGGGAAGGGACTGTTCTCTTCCGACGAAGCTCTTTTGACCCACCCCAAGACCAAACAACTGGCATCCAAGTTTGCTGCTTCGCAAGAAGAGTTCTTCGAGGCTTTTGTCAAGTCCATGATCAGAATGGGAAGCATTCAAGGTGGGCAGGAAGTGAGGAAGGACTGCAGGGTGGTTAATCAGTGAAGGTTCGTTCTTTAGCTAGAGTTAGGTATAATGGAACGGGTAGAGATGGTGGGTGCATTATTTCTTTTAGGCTGTCATCCTCTCCTTTGTGTGTGTGTGCATGCAAGGATGGAATAAAGATAGCTGAACTGTCTCCTTCCAAATAAATATCTAATAGAGTGACAATGTTAAGTGGAGATGATGTATTCCTTATTAGCTAATGTAAATTTACAACATGTTCATCAAATGTGCACTAGATTAGCTAGTAAATAATAATAATAATAATAATAAATTATCCTAAGATTTTAAACTCGAATCTCACTTTCATAACTTATCATTTATAGTATAATAATAATAATAATAATAATAATAATAATTATAATTATTATTATTATTATTATATGACCACTATAAATAATAAAAAATTACCATTTTCCTGTCATGTTTGGATGAAAAAGAAAAAAAGACCGCTTAATTGTATAGAAAATTCTTGATATATGCTAGAATGTGAAGCTTGAAGTAGTTTAACGCTAATTATGCCCCAAAAAAAGAGGAGTTTAATTTAAACATATATCTTCCTATAAAAAAAAGAAGCAACTTATTAGAATTAGATCAGAGATAAATATGATTTAAATTTAATGTTTTTATTATAATATAATATTATACGAATATAAAATATATAAGATAAAATTACTATTTCATAATAAACATAAATAGAGGATGAGAATGACATGTATAATAAGATTTTTCTTCTAGAATTGAGGGTATATTTAAAGGTTCAAACGGTTCAACGTTGGATTTCCGAATTTGCGGTTCGACCGGCCGGTCTGATCTGCTTTTTTTGTTTATCACTCGGACCGAACCGCTGAAACAAATCGCCGTTAAATCGAGAGACTGTGCCTCCACCGCCATCGCCGTCTCTTCGACGACGCCGGGCGATCGGCCCCTACACCAAAGCCATCCAGGTTCGAATCCTTTCTCCTTTCTTAAGTCCTCCATTCATGCGTTTGCCTTTGTAGATTAACACTGACAACATGCCCGCTTCCTCGAACCTTTATCTCACCAATCGACAATCAAACACTGAACCAAATGGAGGTAAATTCGTGCTCCTTCCTCATGAAAGGAAGGGGAGAAAGAGAAGACCTTCGGCGGATTGTTCTTTGTGCATTCTATTTTGGTTGGAGGTTCTTGCGCAAACCTTGCATCTTGATTATATCGTCTTTCTTTCATTTGGGCTTGAATCCAACATGATTAGATACTGGGGAGAGTTCCGGTGCTTAGTTTGGTATCTTTGTAGACAACTCGTATGAGATTTCTATTTGTTTGAGTTAGGGTTTTCTCATCGTTACCTCTCCGTACTGTGTTCTTTTAGGGCCGATCAAATGCTTCCTCAGTCTGGTGATTGTAAAAGTTAGGTTTTTGATCTTAATAGTGGGTACTTTAAATTTTTTTGCTTTGGTGAATTCTGTGACTACTAAGGCACTTGGTGATTTCTGATCTTAATAAAGGATCAATTGAAAAGCTGGCTCTTTTTTTACCAATATCAAGAATGCATCTGATCATCTTAAGCTTCAAGCATTCAATTAGGTTGTACAGATGCTGGCTTCTACTGGTACAAGCTTCTTACATCTGTTTGAGTTCGCTTATCGATTTTGTCTGTAATATACAAAAGAAAGTTACATGGAAGAATCTCCATAGTCATTGATGGCCTTTGAATTCTTTAGAAATGTTTTTTCTTCAATTCTAGCTATTGAGGCTACAAGTGTTTCTTCTAAGATGTTGCCTTGGACAAATATCAACAGTCTCATGGAAGAATTCTTTTTATTGTTTTATTGAAGTTAATCAGATAAGTAAGATTGTGGTTTCTCCCATACTAACTATTAGTCTCTGTGCACTTTCAATTGGACAATACCTGTATTAATAACATTAGTAGTTTTTTCAGCTCTTCTTTTTGCTATCTATAGGATTTGTATTGGACTAGACTAGCGGTCTTTGTGTAAAAAGGACAAACAGGTAGCATAGTATTGTTCTATTGGCCTTCATATAAATCCCAATTCATATGTAGATGAGAAGGTTTGCTAAATACATGGACAAGCAAGTAAAATAAGGTCTGGGATTTATTGGCTTCCAGCATCCTCCAAGTCCTAGTTTCACCGTAGGGATCAGTTCTCAATGCTAAGCCATGCTTCAACGAAGAGTCATGCAGATTACAACAGTTGAAGCGAGTTATACACATTACCATACGATGAGAACACTTACCTGCTGTACTTGAAATCCATGTTAAGAAGGAACCCATGATAAGGGCAAACAATTCAATAATAAGTTTGGCCCCCTCTCATGTCTATAGCCATAACAATATCTTTTTCTCATAATGCCTTGAATTCTATGGTTGAATTCAGATGACCCAAAGCACAGTATCTAATATGTAAAAATTTGAACTGTGGCTACTGGAAAACAACTTGATCCTGCCACAACTAGATTTCACTGTGTACTGTAGTAAATTCATACTTTTGTGCTTTGGCTATTCTCGTGCCCTTCGAGTCGGTTTCATATTTGCACTTTGCCTTGCTTCTACATGTTGCTGTCCATGACCACCTTTGGTAGTACTGCAGTTCTCAAAATTATTTCACTTGTGTTTCTTTTGAAGTGCCAGAACGTTGTCAGTTTCACAGAATATGTCCTGTTATGGTTTCGTGAGAAACACATTAGCATGAGATTGGTTTTTATCGATATTCTTGTTGCTTATCTGAGTTTATATATTACTGATGTAGCATTGGAAGACGTCATCGAGGGCCACTCCTGCGGACACAGTCATTACATTCGTAAAGCTTGCGAGGCCAACATTGGAGGCTGCTCGATCGGTTCACTTGCAAACAATGCCATCTTATCTGAGAAGATCCAGGAACATTCTTGTCCCATCAATTCAAGTCAACACTAGCTAAAATTTTCCCACCAATTTGAACAGCTACGCAAATCTCTTAACTTCTTCTTCTTTCCATCAACAGTGTATTTATTTATGGTTTTGTTTCATGCAAATTGGCACCCAGCTCCAATTCTCATTTCACAGAACATTTAGGAAATAATTCCTAAATGTTGGTTAAGATACATGATGAAATCTTTGTGTGCCAAATACACCGTACTATTGCTTTTTTTTTTTTTGTTGCAAAAACAGAGCCTGATGTAGAGTATGGTTTTTTTATGTGGTATGGCAATGATTTTGTATTGTGCAATTACTGGAGAATGAATTCTCTCTCTTCATGTCTATCTATCTATCTATCTATCTATCTATCTATCTATCTATCAGTAGGTTTATATATTATTGTTAAACACACATTCTGTCACGGAACAAGAGATCCTTCGATCATAAAACAAAAGCACTGCTGATAGCAATATTATTTCGTTGCATTGGCTACACACAACTCTCGATTACCTTTAACAGAAGATTACAATGATTTCATAGTTTGCCACAATCGAAGTCAGCCATACTCATATACTTCTTTGTCAATGCACCAGCCAAAACTTGGTCTCTCAGGAGACGGGCGGCCCAGCTGCCGCCTTGTTGGACGATCCCTACCACATAACCAGTGGCGACAAGCTCAAAGCCCCTCCATCTCCTGGCGTCGGCATACTTCTTCAGTGCTGCCTCGACCCTGCTGCCTTCGTCTTCTTCTCCGCCTCCCTCCCGTCCGCCGATGAGAGCTTCGCCTAAGCACTTGGCCAGAACAACTCCGTCTTCCAGCGCCGAGCAGCCGCCTTGGCCGAGGTCGGGAGTCATGGGATGGAACGCGTCCCCGGTCACGCAGACGTTCCCTCTGCTGATGTCACCCCACAGCAGGTTGAACGGGGATCTGTATCTCAAGTGAGCGGACGCTAGGCTGCTCAGCTCGCTCCTCCCTATTACCTGTAAGACCTCTTGAGGAACCTTTTCGCTCTTCAGCTTGCTCAGTACAAATTCCTTCACCTTAATAACATCTTTGTTCCATTCTTCGTCTGCAAACAAATAATCATAATATATATATATATATAAAAGAAATCCAAACATGCAAGCGGGCAGTGGAGGAAGTCACACCATTTGCTCCGGCAGCCCATGTGAAGAACCAGTACATGCTGTTGTCATCGCAGGGCAACAACCCTGCTCGATAGCCTCTCCCGAAGTACTGCGCAAACTCCGGCTTGAATCCGTGCCCCTCTTCAAACACGGCGAAGCCTCTTGCTGCGTAGCGCCCGGAGAAGGTCGGCTCCTTGAGGCCCAGCCATTTGGCTACAGTGGAGTTGATCCCATCGCAGCCGATCAAGACCTGCAGAAACCATGCAAACCAATGGTGCGGAAACTGATCTCCCTCTCCGATTGCTCTTTCTCAGGTGATGCACATAAAAGATCGTCCGTACCTTGGCTTTGAGCGTGGATCCATCTGCCAAGTGGAGGAGCTTGAATCGACCTGCGTCCTCCATGGAGACCACCTTGGACGAGTACCTGATGGTACCTTGTGGAAGCTCCTTGGCTAGGGCTTCGACCAGTAGGTTTCTTCTGACGCAACGAACCTCGTCATCCCCACTACTTGGAAGAGAGAAGAATTAGAACCAGCTCTCGAGCATAAGGAAAGAAGAAGATTTTTGGAGGTTTCGGTCACCGTTTCTTTGATTCCTTGATTGCTAATGTCGACGTGATTGACCCAGAAGACGCAGAGAAAGAGACCAACCTGCAAAGGCCAAATGCCTGTGAAGCCAATCACATCTGCGAAGATTATGGACGCTCGTGTTCGTCGCTTACGCTTCGAGCCGGACGTGCTGCTTCCGGAGCGTGTCTCCGACGCCGAGAGCGTCCAGCGCTCTCCACGCGTTGGCCCACGTCGAGAGGGCGAAGCCAGCAGCCCGCAAGGTATCGGATGACTCCAACACCAGACAGCGCACCCCGAGCCTGCATCGGAAGGGCATTTCATCGATCAGCTAGTGCTCATCCTGACTCCATTAAGGTGTTCGACGTCGATCGGTACCTGTGCAGTCCCACGGCCGCCGCGAGCCCCGCCAGCCCGGCGCCGACGATGACGATGCCCTCCACGGCCTCCATTCTCGTTTGTATCAGCCAATGGTGATGCAGAGAAGGAGGAGCCCGGGGAGGAGATAAATAGAAGGGAGGTGTGAGGTCAGTGCTGACGGTGGGAGACGAATCTGCCGTGCCGACAAAGAGATGCGGGCATAGCCGCCAAGTCTGGCCAAAACATTGAGTGGTTCATTTGGGCAGCTCCAGGGATGAATCATCAGCAGCAGGCCGAGCTTTGGATGATGGCGAGAGCAACAGCGAGACACTGATCCAATAGCGTGTGGCGGCTATGGATGTCGCGAACGAGGAGAAGAATCGAAGGCGGGTAGTTGGTGACGGTTCGTGGCGCTTCGTGCGTCACAGTTTGTCAATGGTGTCGGGATTAAGTCAAAATTAAGTGAGCAATTAAGTAGAGAGTCAAAAAAAAAAAAATTTGATTTTGATGTTGCACACCATAAGCAAGTAGGATCACCATTGAACAAGGAAATGTCAAAATGTTTGTTATATTTGTAAGATTAAATTGTATTCATTACATCAACAGTACACTAACCACTAAATTGTCTGAATAAATATTTTGAAGACTTATTATAATTGTCCGTCTGTTATCATAATATATATATATATATATATAGGTGGATGTTGTGATGTGGGCAGCATTAAAATGAATAAAAAGTTTGCAACAACAACAACAACAACAACAATAATAATAATAATAACAATAATAATAATAAATTAGAATTAAAATTTTTAATTGAAACAGAAATCGCTTTCCATCTGTCGCTTCATTTGGAGTGACCTTATGTGCCAGTTCTAATAATTGATACAATTTAGGTATAATTTAAGGTTTACTGGACCATGATTGATCCAATGACAATGATGAAGAGCAAGGTGACAATTTCTATAACAATGTTGGGAAGTAAGGTGACAAGTTCAGTTAATTGACTGATTGAGATAACAAAGATAAGACCTACCTTAGAATCATGTAGTTGATAGAAGAAAGATAAGAACTACTCTTTTGTTGTCCCAAAAAAAAAAAGATAGATTATAAATTGCCTCCTCTCACGCAATAAATATCATGGATTGTCCTCTCGATAAATATTTTATAGAATATTTTTCTCCTTTTACCTAATATAAAATGTTATTTTCAACATGATAACGAAGGTTATATTTTTTTTTACTATTTTCACTCATTCATCTTGAGACTAATTTGAGGGTCGAAAAGACTATATCGAGAAATCCATATTCGACCTCGATCTTTGTGTAAATCACACTCAAAGCCCACGAGCACATTCATCTTGGACATCGAGAAAGTTTCACAAGACATCCTGATGACACCTTAGAATAATATCGGATCGACTCTAACGTTATCAATTTTTCCCCTAATAGTAGTCATCCTCGAAGCCCGTGAACGCATTCATCTTGGACATCGAGAAAGTTTCACAAGACATCTTGACGATATCTCATAATAATATCGAATCGACTTTGACGTTACCAATTTTTTCCCTAACAATAGTCATCCTTGGAGCCCGTGAGCGTATCTATCTTGGACATCGAGAAAGTTTTACAAGACATCCTGACGACACCTCATAATAATGTCGGATCGACTCTGACGTTACCAATTTTTCCCCTAACAGTAGTCATCCTTTGGAGCCCGTGAGCACATCCATCTTGGACATCTAGAAAGTTTTACAAGACATCCTGACGATACCTCATAATAACGTCGGATTGACTTTCAGTTTCTGTTGGATGTTGGCATGAAATATGGAGGATAAATATGCTGCAATCACTTAATTAAAAACAAAGGAAAAAAAATGGTCCAACAATGTTTTTACTTGGAAACTGAGATAAATGTCCTGCTTGAAGAACTAGCATCATGTCAACACAAAGATAAGATGCAATAAAGACCACTAAAGTTGAGGTTTCATTTTTTAGGAGGCTCTACAAGATTCAAGTATCACTTAACTTGAATAGCTCATAGCCCACCTCCTCACTTAACTTAATCCTAATTCATATTAGGGTGATATGGTTGACTATGTTTTAAAGGCAGAAAGAGACATAAATAGGGTAGCAACGAGGGCAGGAGATCCTTGCAGCAGCAAAAAGGAGGAGAAAAAGACATAAATCCAAGGAGAAAGAAAGAGAAGAAAACAAGAACAATACAAAGAGACTGTTCTCAAACATCAAACAGTGTTCTCATCTCAGGTTAGATCAAATCTACAGTAGATTCTTGCTATGATTACTTGGGAAGAATTATGGAGGATTTAGATATTGAGTACAGTGATGTGATCTTTATATCTCAGTTATTCTCTTGTGATTATTGCTAGGGTTTTTGGTAAGAGATTGAGATTTGTATATTTATTATTATTATAGTGAATTATCTCTAGTTTGCCTCGAGGTTTTTACCCTTCACATTGAAGGGGTTTTCTACGTATATCTTAGTGTTCTATTTTATTATGGTTCCATTTAATTTCGTTGTGTTTTATGGCCTATTAGTATTGCTAGTCATAGGTACCCAACAAGCCAATCACGTGAGTGATGGCACGTGTGACTTGATACAGAATCTTTTTGCTTATTACATTTTGGCATATATCACTTTATAACTATTGCATATATATATATATATATATATATATATATTTTGTGATGTCCTTGGATTTGTGCGATGGGAATCGGATCGTGATGAGATCACTATAATGAGATCGATTCACCTTTAAACACATATCCTAAATAATCCCGATCATAGGTTACTCGAGAGG